TGGCTTTGGGGAAGGGGAGAGGGAAGGTGCTCCCAGCTCCCCTCCGGCTCTGCCTTCCGCCGGGGCGGCTGAGGTGCCCTCAGCTTCGGTAGCTGTTGGCTCCTTTCAACAGGTGCGGATGGAAGAACAGGCAATTTTCAGATTATAAACTCGCCTCTTCTCTGCTTGAGCCAGTTGCATAAGTTTGAGCAATCCGTAAGAGAAAGGAAAACTGAGTAGAACTCCCAGATCTTTTCCCCTTCAGATAACGCAACAAGTTCCTTACCCCCTGATCACATGTAAGGCTGGCTGGAACAACTCGAAACACAAAATATGCTTTGGGAGAAGAGCTGATCTTGTAACTGGAAGAAAAAGAACAAGCAGATGAGAGAGAGTGTAATTTGAAAATCTTAAGAGAGGAGGAAAAAAAGTTCACCTGTTACTACTGCTACGGCAGTGTTGCTGTGTTTCTTTGTTAAATTCAAAGCCTTGCTCTCAAAACCAGTAAAAAGTGGAATAAGGATTGGTTCATGATGTCAAATTTCAAGCAGTCGTTTGACATAATTGCTACTGTGCAGTGGTATAATCTGTCATTTTACTTGGACCACATTTCTTACTGTATATCCTTCGTGTTTTAATCTTCAGGATGTGTTTGCAATATTAAAATTGTTCAATCCTGGTAAACAAAATTGCTATTTTTTAAATAATATGTGAGAGCCCTGAACTGGGGGCAAACCCAATTATTGGGAAGGGTGCTCAGCATAAGGAAACTTGTTAAGTAACTGGCTGCAACCTAAGTTTGAAAATTGTTTCCAGTATAAGCGGTAAGAATCTTGGCTGCTGGTTTTAAGTGAGCACGAGCCAACTCCGGAACGGTGCTGTATTATTTGTAGCCTTGAAGCCGGGTATGCTTTCACATCTTGCAGTTGTCATCGGTGTACATTCTGTACCTGTTGTCAACTGGGTGGACCCCTTACTGTGCTGGGTAGCAGACTTCAAGGACTCAGGTGGCAAATTGGTCTCTTGAGCTTTTTCAGACTGAGATGCTAATGCCCACACTTGTTTGCAGAGCTCGTTTTTTGGGACGTGAACAGCTGTTGACAAAGAATTTGAATGAGATCAACTCATGTCTTGCAGACCATAAAATGGCCATCAGGTATCATTAACCTTACAGAAGTAACAGTTGGGGTAACAGTAAACACAGTCGCGCTGGCATGCCCTTACTGCTAATTTCAGTCTTTACAGTAAGGAGTTCAAGATTCTTTTTTTCAAAAATATGTTAATCTTTAGGCTTAGAAAAAATTGTAGCTATTAAAAATAATCACTGAATTTGGATCACCTACGTATGTGTACCACACACCAGCAAATGCTTCCTTTTCAGGTCATGGGAGTCAGGTGCTACTGTGATCGGTGCCCAAGTGTTTAGAGAGAAAGCAGCGAGTGGCAGGAGTTGACTGATGCCAGTGAGAGCAGTATGAGGGGATGTGGTTGTATTACCGTCAGAGGATAAATACAGAGGTGGTAGGTGTGTCTGAATTCTGGTATGGACTTGGCTTTTCTTTTGTGGCCTTGATCAGGTTCACAAAAACATGTGTGACAGTCCAATGGAAATCTGTGCTTTCGTGATTTCTTGGAGAGGTTTGCTTTCCTGAACTGGTACTGAGCCCAGCACATTCTCATAGCATCTGTTTCTCTTCAGATAAAGTCAGGAGGGAGGCGAATTCTCACTACGTTTGTTAGCACTATAACCTCTCTTAACCTTGCCTTCCTTGAATGGCAATGTAATTGTGAAAAGGACATTGTCTTACAGCAGCTGAAAGATTATTTGTAGAGATTGTTTTTCAGCCTTGTAGCTGAAACAAGTCTAGATAAAACTGTATGAAACAATGTACTGGCGTAGCATTACAGTAAAAAACAGAGAGAGGAAACCTGGCAACTCGTTTGGACTGTGTACTACACCTAGCCCCAGATGGAGGAAGGAATTTAAATTTGCTCTCCAGAATAAGGCCTGGTGCAAACTTTTGAACACTTTCTATGAATCTGGTTGAGGCAGCTACAATGTTATTGGCACCCTTCCAGCGTTTCTGTCAAAGCAGTGCTTTTCCTTAACAGTCTTGTTCCTGGCTCTGTGGAAGAAAAAACAGACTGTGTCCACATCCCTTGAGATACAGTTGCAAACATTTGCAGAGCTCGTCGTCTAAAGACGTCTAAGGTCAACCTAGTCTTTCTTAATTTCGACGCCATACTTCCGTCCCATCTGAAGTAATTCCTTTTCAACTGCAGTGATTACAATCTGTGTTGTCTGTCATCTTGCTTTGTATCACAGTTGCTTATTTCTTTTTTTTAAAGTCTGTACAGGTTGTTCCTAATCAGCTGCTGCTGATGATTATTTTCCTCTAAACTCAATACTAATTTATTATTTGCCTGCCTCCTGATACAGTGACCATGTAAGCTGGTGTGGTCAGTCCTAGGTTATTACTGTGTTTCTTTAGAATTCACAGTTATGTTTATTTTTAAAGAACATGTTAATAATAATTTGAATTGTTTAAAATTGGTAACTGTAATTTGCTAGACTACTTTGGTGGCTAGCAAAAAACACATCATCTGTTCATTGTGTTTAAAAAAACCATCAAAACAACAAAACAAACCACCAAACAAGCCTAATGCTAAGTGGGGAAGGTTGGTTCCATTTTTGACTATGTGAATCCAGAGGTACAGTCCTGCTTGTTTAGAGAAGGGACAGTAAAAAACCTAGGTTGCTCAGTAGCTTATGTTTGTAGAATCACTGACAGCAAATAATGGTGCCAAATTTTTAACTTCCTGGTGCCAAAAATCAGAGCTTTTGAGGTAACATTTTGCATCTTAACTGACTTTATCTAGGCAAAATCAATAATTTAGCAGAACAGACCTATTAACCACAATGAACATTTGTTAGATTTCAGTGTAGATGTTCACAGAGAACACTGAGGTGGAATCTTAGAGTTACTGACATTTTAAAAGGTAATTTGTTAAGTTTTATTTATGAAAGCACTGTGTCCAAGATTTTGCATGGTATTTTCTGAAGGAAATTTTGAAAGCTGGGTAAACAATGCGCTTTCTGAAAGGACTTTCAAAATGAAACTGTCCTTTTAAGAGAAGGACGGCAGCTGAGGGATTATAGCAGAGTTCAACTTTGTATCTCCAGGTGGAACCTTCTCTTCTTTATGTATTCCAGAAGGGAAAAATGTTGCAGACTATGTATTGATTTAGCTATTAAGGAAGCCTGTTCCTCAAATTAAGTGCATATGAGGCTTGTAGGTGAACTCAGGCTGCCATGAAGCCAATGCTTAATGAGGACCTTTGTATTTTACTCTGCCAGTTACTTTTCTCGTGACTGGGAGCTATTTTTAGTTTCCCCTAAGGGGGGATGGGGGGGG